ATGTAGTTGTGCCCACACAAGGGTGCCCAGCTAAGGGGGACAAATAGGGACTGAAATGTGGCTTCTACTCTCCTTGACAAGCTTTTTGCTGTAACAGGAAACTGTCACCAAGTGGGGTGAAGGAGCACCTTTTCTGAATTCATATAAAAGTGCTTAGTAGGTTAGCTAGTGGTGGCTTTGGACACAAATGCTACCAAATCTTTCAATAACACAAACCTGACCACAACACTCCTTATTGTATTTTTCAATGGTTCTCCATTGCTCAAAGGAGAAAAGCAAGATATCCACGTTCCTTCACATTTAAGTCTGACCTATTTTTCTGCTTCCTTTGTTAAAGTTAAATACATTTCACTCTAAATTTTCAGAAAGCTTTAAGTTCATGTAAACTTAGTCTATTTATCCCTATTTTATTAAAATGGTCTGTCTTTCCCTGAAGTTGCTTTTGTAGTCTATGCTCTTCTGGGTCTAACAATCCTACTACCTTCCATACACAGACTCTTTCTTCCAGTCATATCCAACTTTTAACTGATTCTAGACACATCATGTTCTTTCATGCATCTCTGCCTTTCTATCTGCCAGGAATATTCTACTCAGGGGACTCCTATTCACCCATTAAGACTCAGGTCAAATATTCCTTTCTGAGCATCAACTGTCACTTTTAATGCCAGCTAGTGTGGGTTATTCTCTCTTCTTTCTCCCATAGTCTTTGCATGTCACTAGATCATGTCACATAAACATATTATATAGAACTTAGATGTTTATATGTCTTTACCTCTAAACTGCAAGTCTTATTCATAAAACCCAAGAAATAAAATAAATGAATAAAGAAAAACAAAGTTCCTAACTTCAAGTAGCTTACACCTTTTTAGGAAGATGGAAACAAGGTAAAAGACAATTACCACAAGAGAAATACATTTAAAAATGGTAAAGATGTTTCATATCTGCTGTTTAGTTTGCTAACTCACTATCCATAAGACTAGGCAAACCTTTATCAAAGAGTCAGAGATGTCGGGCCGGCCCGGTGGCGCACTGGAGAGTGCGCCACTTGGGAGCGCGGTGGCGCTCCCACCAAGGGTTCGGATCCCATGTGGAGACCCGTTCCCGCTCACTGGCTGAGTGCGGTTCGGGCGAAACACCGAGGGTTGCGATCCCAATGCCGGTCCCCGGTACGGGCGCGACACTGAGGGTTGCGATCCCGTTACCGGTCAGTAAAAAAAAAAAAGACAAAAAGGAAAAAAAAAAGTCAGAGATGTCAAAGGAACTACAAAACAGTTTCAAAGACTGTTTTGTTGACTCAGAGGCAAGAAGAGATCATGAGGAATCCTTCAACAGGAATTGAAAGATCTGATTTCTGGTCCTGGATTTGTTACTTATTTGCTGTGGAACCTCAGACAAGTGAATTGCATTTGCTTGCCTTTAGTTCTTTTGCTATACTACTGCTCTTACAGAGTGAGGGTACTTCAATAGATGATGTATACAAAAAGACAATTAAAACTACAAAGTGCCATTTTAGTGAATGCTTTGCTGGATTCCAAGAAGTGCAAGACCTGTTTTCTACCCTAGAGAATCTTTGTTTGGGGAAATGAGGCAGCTGCTCATGTTGTAATAACTACAAGGAAAAAATATGCTAAGAGCTAGACAAGTGTAACAGAAATAAGTGTAAAGGAGTTCAAAGGACAGGCCATTTCTGGGTGGTGTGGTCATGATGGATTAGTGATAAAGTAGTGATTTCAATAAGTTAGAATATTTTGAAATTACTGTGTACAGATATAAAATTTTAGGGTAAAAGCAGAAGAAAGAGTGGAGAGACAACAAAGAAGATCTCAAATAAGAACAGTAGACCAGTGAATTATAGCAGCATGCTTTCATAGAGCAGTTTCTGATTAGGGGGGAAAAGTAGGTTGCAGACAGTATACACGAGGTTGCTAAGTACTGTGGTGCTCTGCTTCACTTTGAAGACAGGTACACCTTTGCCAGCAGTTTTCTAACAACAGAGAGTTTAAGACCAGGCCAAAGGGTGTCCTGTCCTGCTTTAGGATCTTTATTCATAGCTCAGATGTGTTGTTAGATAGACTGGTCAGAGAAATAGTCAATCTATACCAGATTCTAATACACTGATCCTGATTTTTTTAGTTTGGGGAACACTGTCACAAGAGACTTCATTCATGTAGGAAGAGCACAGACATTCTAAGTGGCTTAATTGCTCCTTATGTTTCCACTGTGTGGGAGAAAAAGAGAAGATGTCAGAAGGAATGTTAATCAGCAAGAAAGAAAAGTAATTTAAGGCTCTCCTTTTATCAGCTATAATAGCTCAAGCATGGTGAATAGAACCCTTCTTGAATTAATGGGGCACACTAGAAGGTGATTGTTTTTATGTCAAGCTGGCATGAAGACCTTGAGCTATTATTAGACCCAGAAGGGCATAGACTACAAAAGCAACTTCAGGGAAAGACAGACCATTTTAATAAAATAGGGATAAATAGACTAAGTTTACATGAACTTAAAGCTTTTTGAAAATTTAGAGTGAAATGTATTTAACTTCAACAAATTATTTAAAAAGACTTTCTAGGTTCACAAGATTACACTAAATAATCACTATATTAAGCAAATTCTTACATTTTAAAGAAAAGGATAAGAGGCAAACAATTATTTAGCTTTCAGATAAATTATATATCTAGTTATTTAGGCAATGCAAAACATATTACCATCTTGTAGCAATATCATCCAATATTTCAGTGGTAAATATAAATATTGAAATGAAAAGAGGAAGAAAGGATGAATGGAAATAACATTTATGAAGCTCTCTTTATACATCATGTATTGTCTCTTGAGCATTTACATCTGTTATTTCATTTAATCCTCAAAACAACTTCAGTCACATAGACATTTTATAAATGAGCCTACCAAGGTTCAAAGGAGTTAAATAATTGCCTGAAACCACCCTGGAAGAAAAGAGTTAAGATTCTATTAAATTTTACTCAACTGCAACATTAAAATCCCCCCCCACACACACTTTATTGCCTCTCCTGTAATTTGAATCCTTAAGTTTTGTTTTTGTTTTTTTCAGCTGGCTGGTAGAGGATCTGAACCCTTGACCTTGGTGTTATCAGCAGAATCCTCAAGTCTTGATATATGACATAAATGGTATGATTGCCTATATAGTATTTATAAAATATATAGCTGATACCTGGCTGTTAGAGATATTACCAATTTCACTTAATGAGATAATCACTAAAAGGAGGTTAACATCCAAATGCAAATAAAAATTTAACCCAAGTTTTACAGATATCAGTTTTTGGCCTATGTCAGGAGATTCTTATACAGAAAAGAAATTAGGTATCTCACTCTTCACCTCTGTTCCTAAGCATAGGGCACACAGGGTAATGAGGCCAGGTATGGCTTTCATGTGCACATATCTGTGATAGCTGATTTCCTGTCAGAGATAAACTTTTCCAAAAGTAACCAGGATAATTTGGTAAAAGACAAATGAATAAATGAAGTGGAATCTGCTATAGATCACTTAAAAAACAAAAATCAAAGCAAAAGAAAACAATAGCTAAAACCTAAAAAGACCTCTTACTTCCTCCTAAGCTGAATTCCCATCTGCTTTTAAATGGCAACATGTTTTTCCATTTACTGAGAGCTATAGCCAAGAAGCCAAAGACAATGAGGGCCATAGCCACCAAGGGGAGTGAGTGGTGGGTGGCAGAGATGGCAGAAGGACACTGTTGTGTCAGCCTTTCCTAGGAGGCTGCTCCCTAGTGACTGCTTTCCCCTTCCAGCTGGTGACAAACTTCCTCTTGGGATCCTCCTGAAGCTTTTAAAAATGTTTCAATTTTCTGTGTACCCTTCTCCAGGGGGAAAATGGAGTAACTCAGAGAGTGGTATAAGGAGCTATTTTAAACATCGGACCTATATTAGCTTTTATGGAACAATGTTGATCAGGCAAAATAAATCACCAGGTGAAAAGAAAATATTTTTTAAAGTAACATCCCCTTATCCCAGTTATTAAAAATACCAGTATTATCTCCATCTCAATCATTCTCTACATTTTAATTAGAAATAAAAATAAAAAATACTCACTATACTTAAACGTTTTGTTTCTAAAAAACAATTACAGTGCCAAGAATTTCCTCATCTCCAGCTCACCTGGCCAAATTCTTGTTCATACAGCTAAAAGTGTACAGTTAAATAAAATTAATTTTACATAAACTTGAATGTAATATACAACTGTCCTGTGAAGACAACTAATTGTTCACTATTTTCATTCTTATATCAAAAGTGCCCAAAGAGACACTCCAACTCCGAGAAAGTGGCTGTGCCTGTAGCAGGGTGTGTGCCTACATTATGGCTCTTTCTATGACAAATGAGAAGCAGAAATCTATTTTTCCTAAAAATATTTTTTTCTCCCTCTCTCCCCCAGTTTGTTTGTTAAACAAGTACCATGTAGTAGGTTCTGTGCTGAAGGATATGGCCTTAGCCTGGGGAGGAAATAAGTTACGTCACAGTTTGTAAAGCATTGAGTTTGTAGGAGTTGAGTGACTGAGGTTCTGCTTTGAATTCATTTTACTATAAAAAAAAACAAAAACAACCAATTTTGGCTTTCAAACATTGCAGCACCATTTTCATTCTGATGAAAAGACAAAGAAAGACAGAAAGAGAAAAAAAGATGAGATCTTATATTTTTTCTAAAGCTAAGTTTTACCTATCCTAAAATCTGTACTACATAAAAACTACCCAGCTGGTACAATATTTGTTAGCAACAAATGAGTTTTTTCCTTTCAGCCAGACAGAATCTCACTGGCTTTTAAAAAACAATTGGGACATAACAGAGGTCATTTAAAATGCAATTTAACTTAGTGATTATCTGTCATGCAGTACATTTACTATAAGATTTTTTAGTATATCATTTAAAGGAGCTGGAAGCAAGCAGTTACTTTCTTATAATGACCCCAAGCCACTGCGTCCCTCCCACCAAGCTATTTTGAGAACTATCTTACCTCTGCTCCTGAATATGTATCAGTTTGGAGGACGAGTTCATCCAGGTCAACCTCTTTACTCACTGGCATAGAGTGAAACTGCAGGTTAAATATTTCTCTTCTTGTTGCTGCATCCGGTAAAGGCACATAGATGATTCTATCAATTCTTCCAGGTCGCATCAAGGCCTATAAAGAAGATGGGGTAACATGGATTTACCAGGCTCGGATTCCACATGGGAAGCAGTCAGGGAAAGAAGATGTCGAGAATCTCATATATAACCCACTATTATCCATAATTAATAAATAAAACAAGTACTGAAGATTTGATAATCCATTTCAAAGATACAAACAATGTCAAGAATACTTTTCAAGGGCCGGCCCGGTGGCGCACTGGATGGTGTGCCGCTTGGGAAGCGCGGCGGCGCTCCCGCCCGAGGGTTCGGATCCCATGTACAGACCGGCTCCCGCTCACTGGCTGAGCGAGGCACGGGAGCAGCACCGAGGCTTGCGATCCCGTTGCCGGTCCCCGGTCCGGTACGGGGGCAACACTGAGGGTTGCGATCCGTTGCCGGACACGGAAAAAAAAAGACAAAAAAAAAAAAAAAAAAAAAAAAAAAAAAAAAATAGAAAAGCAATATTTCTGGGAGGCTTTTTGCTTCTCAGTAACTATCAGGTAAGTAAAATTCTGTATTAGAGAAATGTGCATATGATTTGCACTCATTATATCAAAAGGAACTTTTGTAACTTCCTTCAATAACTCTGAACTTCCCTAATATTGTATTGAAGGTTAATGCCTAAATTATCCTGGGACTAATGAATTTACTTATTTAGAAGGCTTTATTGAACGTGTATTACATACTAGACATTGTTCTCAGTACCAGGAAAAAATACGAATAAGATAGGTATGTGTAAAATTGACTGTGGTGATGATTACAGATGTCTGTGAATATACTAAAAACCAATAAGTATGTGAAATGGGTGAATTTTATAGTATGCAAATTATATCTCAATAAAGCTGTTTAAAAAAAAGATATAGGTCTAAAATTTGTGTGTGTGTTTGTCTATTGAGGGAATGGGGCAGCTTTTAGCTGGAGTAGTAAGAGAGAGCCTCTCTGAGGTGTGGTAACTTATGAAGATACCCAAAGGAGTTAGCCATACAGAGATCTGCTGGAAGAACATTCAAGTTAAAGAGAATATCAAGTGCAAAGATAAGAATAACTGGCATGTTCTAGGGAAAGAAAAAAATCCACTGTGGCAGAAGCATAGTGAATTAAGAGGAAAAAAGGTAGGAAATGAGGTCAGAGAGAGTGTTATGGGTAGATCACATGACTTGGAATGACATAAAGAGTATGGACTGTATTCCACTTACAAATGGAAGCCCTTGGAAGGTTTTAAGTGGGAATGTGAAATGATAAGATTTATATTAAAAGATCACTCTTGTGGAACCATATCAAAGGCTCTAGCATATGTATAATTAGAGTCCCAGAAGAAGGAAAAAGAAAATGGGGCAGAAAAAAATATTTGAAAAAATAAGGGCTAAAAATTTCCCCAAATTGGTAAAAAATAAATTTGCACAATCAAGAAGCTCAGCCAATCTCAAACATGATAAAAAGAAATAACAAAAACAAAAAACATACACCTAGACACATCATAGTCAAACTGTTGAAATCCAAAGATAAATAAATTCTTGGAAGTTGCCAGATTGTATATAGAGCACAATGTTTCAAATCACCAATGACTCTCAAATCAAAAACAATAGAGGGCAGAAACCCATAAAATAACATCTTTAAAATGCTGAAAGAATAAAAATGTCATCACAGAATTCTATTCCCAGTGAAAATATCCTTCAATAATGAAAAAAGCAATTTTTCAGATAAAGGAAAACAAAGAAAATCGCTTTTAGCAGATCTGCACTACAGAAAATGTGAAAGAAGTTCTTCAGACTGAAGGGAAATGACATGAGACAGAATATTGAATCTTCAGGAAGAAATGAAGACACTGGAAATGATACACTCCAAAATGTAGATACCTGTCACCTCCAAAAAATTTTTAAAAATTACTTTTGTTGCTGGCAAAATCAGAAGTGACATTTCTTAAAGATTTAAGAGACACTCACTTATAAACAGTATAAAAGAGAACATATCTATATGTGTAGTTCTGAATATGAAATATCCAGAAAGAGTGTTTGATGGAAGTAAATACAGATACTAAGAAAGACAGGAACTTAGGCATCTTCTAGTTAAAAAATCAAATATGAAACAATCCACTCTCCCTCAAAACACCACAGAAAATATGAACATCAAAATCTCATGTGGTTAATTCTTAGGGAATGAGCACCAAATAATGATGATATTCTGTGAGTAATAAACTGTGAGTAATAAACTGTTTTTTTTCCTCTGACCCTGGAATCTCATGTCTTTGCTGACCTTTATGAAATTGAGGTAGACTAACTTATAAGCATTCGAATAGGGTAAAATCCCAGAACCTCAACAGTTCCTGACATGTATGATCCTAATAATGAAGCCTCAAAATATATAAAGCAAAAACTGACAGGATTAAAGGGATAAATATATAATTTCACAATAATAATAAATTTTTACACTTCTATCTTAGCAACTGATAGAACTAGAAAACAAATCAGTAGAGATAGACTCTGAAGAAGACTACCAACCACCTTAAAAAAGAACTCTTCACTAAAAACTACAGAAAACCCTTGAGAGTTAGTAAAGACCTAAATAAAGAGATGTACCATGTTTGTGGACTAAGACTCAATATTTTATCCATTCTTTCCAAATGTATCTACAGATTCAATGCAATTCCAATCAAAATTCCACAAGAATTTTTGAAAAGAAACTTGCAAGCTGACTATAAAACTTATATGAAAATGCATAGTTCCATATAAAAATATATGGAAATGCAAACGACTGAGAATAATGAAAGCAACTTTAAAAAGAGCAAAATTGGGCTGCCCAGTTAGCTCACTCAGTTAGAGCATGGTCGAGAATGAAGCTGAAGGAATTATACTACTTGCCTTCAAAATTTGTAATGCTAAAGAAACAAGACAATGTTAGTGTCTAGAGGATAAAAATATAGATCAATAGAACAGAATACGAGTCCACACATTCATTTTGATTTTTAAGGCACTCAATGAGGAAAGTATTTCAAGAAATGGTGCTGCAACAACTAGACATCCATATATAAAAAATGAACATTGACTCTTATGCCTTGTACCATACTCAAAAATTAACTTGAAATTAATCATAAACCTCAATGTAAAGAGCTAAAACTATAAAACTTCTAGAAGTGTAAAAAAAATTGATAAACTGGTAATTATAAAATATTCACAATATGCATATCTGACAAATAACTTGTACCAAAATATACAAAAAATTCTTACAATTCGATAATTTAAAAAATGAGCCACCCAAGAGTAAATGGGCAAAAAAACTGGACACTTCACAAAGGAAGTTATATGGTTACCAACTAAGTACATGAAAAGATGCTCAATGTCATTAATCATCAGATCAAGGCAAATTTAAACCACAACGAAATACCATTACATTCCCATAAGAATGACTAAAATTAAAGACACTGACAATACCAAAGATTGATCAAGGATTTGGAGCAACTAGAATGTACATACACTGTTAACGGGAATATAAAGTAGTGCAACCACTTTGGAAAACAATCTGGCAGTTTCTTAAAAAGTTAAACATAACACATCATAACAACCCAACTATTCCATTCATAGATATTTACCCAAGAAGAACAAAAACATATATCCAAACAAAGACTTGTACATGGATGTGCATAACAGCTTTATTCATAATAGCCCCAAACTATACACAACCTAAATGTCTACCAATTTATGAGTGCATAAACAAAATATATAATGGACTATTACCCAACAAAAAGGAACAAACTACAGAAACATGCAACAACATGAATGAGTCTCAGCACTCATTGTTCTGAGTCAAATAAACCAAACGTAAAAGAGTATATACTATATAATTATATTTACATAAAATATTAGAAAACTCCAATATAATCTATAGTAACAAAATGCACACCAGTGGTTGACTGGAGCCTGGGGAAGAGAGAAAGATGGACTGTAAAGGACCAAAAGCAATCTTTTGGGGGTGACAGAAATATTCTGCACTTTGATTACATAGGTTTACACATATATGTAAATTAATTGAACTGTACATATAAATAGGTGCAGTTTATTATATATAAATTATAACTAGAGTTAGTTAAAAAAAAGAATAGCAACTTGCATTTGTTAGATTCTCAGTATTTACAAATCAGTAAGTTTAAGGGGAAAAGAGGTATTTTTGGGTCTTCTCTATCTTCCTTGACTAAGCAGTTAGGGAAAAGTCACATACAAAGTCACATAGGAGAAAGACCAATAATCAATTTCTGTGATTTGGTAATGAATATAGGTGACAGGTATCACAACCACTTCAATGCCACAGCTAACTCTTTTTTTTTTTTTTTGCTTTTGTTTTGTTTTATCTTATCATGCTCATGCTTAGAGTTCCAAATAGGTTATTAAAACTCATGAGGTAAATAAACCATCATATCTCATACTAGTGTTTCATAAAATAGTCCAGTAAATGTGAATACATGTAATAGAAAAAAAGGATTTTTTAGTTAAATAAGCTTGGAAAATACTGGGTAGAAACAAAATTAACAGTTTATATAGGTTTCAATATGCAGGGATTTATGGCATCTATATTAATGGACATTAAAAATCTCCAAGAGGGCTGGCCAGTTAGCTCACTTGGTTAGGGTGTGGTATTGGTAACACCAAGGTCAAGGGTTCAGATCCCTGTACCGACCAGCTGCCAAAAAAAAAAAAAATCTCCAAGAGAGGGCTACAGTAGCATGTAGAAATTTTATCAGAAATTCCAATCATGGAACATCTCAAAAGCTAATATCCCATTTCAACTTTGGAAAATGCTGCCATACACTTTTTGTACTTATTACAATACTTAGGAACATGGTGAGTGTCCACGAAATTATCTATTAATTCTTAAGTTATGTATAAATTAGCAAACAAAAATTCAATTAAAAATATATGGTGTGTGTATTTCCTTTGCTTAAAAGTGAATACTTTAATTACTGGCAGACTATTTCTCACACCTAACATTAATTCATTAGGTAGAAATGATGCATAATT